AATGATTGCTATGTGCCAGGGACTATGCAAAGTACTTTACATTGATTATTTCTTACTAAATGCTTTTTGTAGACAAGGAAAGGGAGGTCCAAGAAGGACAAAAATCACATGCCTGTGGAGTGATAGGGCCAGGATTCAAATTCAGGCAGTAAGGGTCTGTGCTTAGACACTGTGCAATTCTGTGTCTATAATATATTTATCAGTGCCAAAGCACGTACAAACCAATGTCCAATTTCTAGTACATTGTCTATTTCATGAAAGTGATATGTATGATAAAGACAACAAATAGGGGACTGCCCAGCAGCATAGTGGTTAAGTTCATGCGCTCCACTTGGGTGGCCTGGGGTTTGCTGGGTCAGATCCTGGGCGGGGACCTACATACCACTTATCAAGCCATGCTGTGGTGGCATCTCACACAGAAGAACTAGTAGGACTTATAACTAGGATATACAGCTATGTATTGGGGCTTTGGGGAGGAAAAAAATAAAGGAGGAAGATTGGCAACAGATGTTAGCTCAGTGCCAATCTTCATTGCCAAAAAAAAAAGGCATTTTAAAAAAAGGCAACAAATAGGAGAGTTACATATAAATGAAAAAAAAATCAAAATGTGGGGAGGGAAGAGGGCAGAAGGATGAATGGCACATGTGTATGGTGATGGGTTGTAATTAGTCTTTGGGTGGTGAACATGATGTAATCTACACAGAGTTGAAACATGATGTACATCTCAAATTTATATAATGTATATAATGTTATAAACCAATGTTACCACCATAGAAAAAAAAATTTTTAAATCAAAACAACAAAAACATTACCAATGACTTACAAAACAAAACAAGCTCTGCCTAACTATTGCTTTTCATGTCTTACCACCTTAAAATAAAATAATAAATAAAATGAAAATAATTTGTGGTTTCCCAACAAGTGATGGTTCTGGCTGAGAGTTAAACATCACATGTGCATATTCAGAGTGTAGTAAAACTGCACGCATGCTCTAAGTAACAAAGGCCTCTGAAGGTGGCATTTATGTGCACATACTTTGTATGTAAATATCCATATGTAAATTTATGTGTGTATGTGTGTGTGTGTGTGTGTTTAATCCTAGGGAAATTTTGTGGGCTTTCTTTCCTTTGACATAAGCATTTTGGTTTTCTGCCTTCCATCTTTCAAATGACGAGGGAGAAGTTACTGTGGGGGAAAAAACTCACCACCACCCTTATCAGCATAAAGAAAATTTATTACATTATTTTGACTCTACTATCAATGGAAAAACTCTTTAAAGAACATCTGCTCTGCAAACATTACATTTTAAGGCATATTTTATATGATTAAAAACATCATATAATGTATTGATGCAGAGTCATCAGTTGGAACAAATGTACCACTCTGGTGTGGGAGCAGGAAGTAATCTCTGTACCTTCCTAGTAATTTTGCTGTGAAACTAAAACTGCTCTAAAAATTAAAGTCTTAACAAAAAGTAAAAAAGAAAAATATACCATGTGACTTTAGAAATTGATGTGACCTTAGAAGTTACTTAGTCTTCTGACATTTAAATTATTTTCTCACTTCTTATTCACATTTTAAGAATTAAGACGTGGCCTGATATTTGAACAAAAAATCCTTAAAAAAAAAACCCTCAGTTTTTGGCCCATGTGTGCTCATATCACTCGCACTGACGATAAAACAAATGGAATTGGAGTTAACACAACATAAGCCAAAATTCTCTAGCCTTTGTGTAATCTCTACTTGTCATAAAACAAAAATTTAGGCTTCATTAGAAAACCTATATGATGCCAGTAAATGCCCTCAAATGTGTTAGTTATGTGATGGAACGAAAAAGACAATCTGTTTTCAAAATTATGTATCAAAACATTTTCCAACTTCAATAAGTTAAGTGTTTTGCACATGTGTATAGACACACTCACTAAGCATATTGTTTAATAAAAGCCAATACAATAGAGAGATTCTTCCAGGCGTGTTGATGTCACAATGTATTATCCCCAGAATACTGCTTTCCCTGGAGGGGGAAGAAGGAAGGGGGAAAGGGTTGAGTACACAGCAAGCTTTCACAAATGCCCTCACTCTGTGTTCTAGGAACAGATTCTTCTTTCACAGTTTATCTTATTTGACAGCCGTTCTTAACGTCAATGGCTCCGCCCTCTTGGTTTCTCTGGCTTCCTGGGAGAAAGATTTATGGGTAGCTAGTGCAACAATTTTCTAAGATATTTATGCAGTAAAAAGATTCAGTAGGTTAAAAGGAAGGGAGTGATCAAATAGAGAGGAGTGAGAGCAGTACGTCTTATGTGTGCCTACTATGTGCCAGACACTGTGCTCTACCAGCACACAGTACTTAAATCTGACGACTCTGCATTAGATGGATGCTCATATTCCCATTCTAAGATAAGGAACTAGGTTCTGAGAACTTAAGTAATTCACTGGCAGTCACACCCTTGGCAAGCGGCAGAGTTCAGTGATTACCAAATGCCAAGCTGAGATCTTGTGCCTGCCCAACAGAGTGTTCATTGGTCTTTGTCAGAGTGAGAACAAACATGGACCATGGAAAGAGGTTTGTAGAAAGCTAAACATATTCCTTTGGAAAACTCTCCTTTATTCTGAGATCATGCCCTTTCTTTTTTATTGAAGTGGAAATGCCTTTTAAAAGTAAAATCATTGTGTATATTGATGGGAATTTTCTTGTTAATGTTCTTTACTTGGCAAAGTAAGCAGTTAGTAACCCTAGGCCAGTCACCCAGGTGGTTTCTGAGATCTTACTGAGTCATGCCATCCCAAGCATGGAAATGTGCAGTGTAGCTGGTTTTAAACTCAGGATTTAAAATACTGTTTGGTTTCTACCACACATGTCACTTTCTGTGTGCTCAAATGAATTCAGACTATTCTGAAGCCACATAGAAGTATATATTCTAGACTCTAGAACAGCACTGTCCAACAGAAATTTCTGCAATGATGGAAATATCCTCTATCTCTGCAGTCCACCCCAGTATCCACTTGTCATATGTGGCTACTTAGCACTGGAAATGTGGCTAATGCAAGTGAATTTTACTTTCATTTAATTTTAATTAATTTAAACTAAGAGAAAGTCACAGATGGCAAATGGCTATCATGTTGACCAGTGCAGTTCTTGAGCAATCCTTACAAAACTTCAGTTTTAATTCATCCAAGGGAAGACAATGTTTTACATAACTGGGAAAAAAAGCACCTACTCTAAGCTTGGGGGCCAAAAAGCATTAATACATTAGCATAACAAAAATTACAAATTATTTGGTAAAGACTCTAAGTCAAAAGACTTGGTCAGGTGCCCATCAAGATTCTCCATTCCTTAAAGAACAATAAAGATTTTCATTTCATTCCTTTATTTATTTATTGCATTCTCATCTAGGAGCTACTCTATATGCCAGCAAATGCCAAAGGAACGATCTAGCAGCAGCTGTTGACCAAAACCAACTTAGGTTCAGAATCAAGATACCTGGATTCTAATTCATTTGCGTGTGTGTGTGTGTGTGTGTGTGTGTGTGCAAGACACAACATTTTTGAGCAGAATTCTGTGATTTCGAAAGCTGAGCTAACGATATTTTCCCTAGTTTCCTTATATGATTGTTTTGAGGATCAAATATTCGTAGAAATGAATAAAAGAAACTGTAACTAAACTGGAGTCAGGAAGGCCTGTAGGGGGAGCTCTCGTCAATTACACCGACCAGGAAGAGACCTACACTTCCCTCTTCAACAGGAAGTAAAGCTACTTTACCACTCAAGGAAGATTTTTCTCCCTGCCCAGCAACAGCCTGGCCAATGAGAAATGCCACAGCTCAGCCAATGAGAAGCTGTTGCTGCCCTGAACTGTTACTGTCCCCCAATGAACAGCGCCTCCCCACTCCCCTTTTTTCTCTATAAAAGCAGCTCCTCTCCTTTGTTTTCCAGATTTGCCTGTGTTTCACCATAGCATGCACTTCCCATATTGCAATATTTTTGGCTATTCCCAAATAAACTCATTTTGAGGGTAAAATAACAGGCTAATTTGCTTTTTTCAGCTGACATATTAAACTTCATGGGGGAATTCTACATCAAGTATAAAGACTATACAAGTGCCAGACAATTTTAAGAATATATTCCTATCTATACACTCCTGAGCATGCACCAAATACTTGTCAAAAAACAAAAGGTATGCACTTCACTCCCCAAAGAGTCCACTGAAGCTGAGTTACAAAGGAGGAAGCATGGTTGTGAACATCTTGACCTTGAACTGATGACTGCGACATTTGTCTATGAACCTTTGAAGCACACTTTTACCACTTTCAAAGTGCTGCTCTGTTTAGATAGCTGGATTATAGACAAGCTGTGTGTCTGGGAAACATCAGGCTCCTTTCTGGATAAATAGGACAAGATGGGCTACCTTTAAACAAATGTAAAATGAATAAACAAACAAAAGAAAACACAAAAAATTAGTGAAATGTGTTAGAAATTTTACCTAATCTCTACCGTATGTGGAACAAATGAATGGAAACTCAGTGTGTATTGAAGATAAAAAATGCACATGAAAAGACAAAAACAAACAAAAAAGCGTGCTTTCAACACAAGAAATTAACTCCCTGATTTAATGTAAAAGAGTTCTTTTTACCAACTATCTTCTTTTTAGCTTCTGCAAAAAAGTATTCATAACTGAAAATAACAATGATTGGATGAAAGTTTTATTTTATTGCCCTTTAGAAAAATCACCATAGGGAACTTTAGATACATAAATCACAATGCTTATTTTCTGATTTTTCTGGGTAAAAAAAACAAACGAAAATCAAACAGAGAAGTCAAACAAACAAAACTGGCCCTGGTGGATACAACAAATTCAATTTGAAGTTCTCTGAGTCCCAGAGGAGGAATGGCTGTTGAGACATGGAAACATGAGAACCGCACGCAGCCTTGTTCTCCCTGGAAGTGAAACAAGGAGCTAAAAGGTCTTGGTCTCGGAATCATTCATGACATTTACTAGGAGGCAATGTCATCCGCTGAATTGCTTAAATGATTTCCTGTCACTGATTGCTTCATTTGCTTAAATGCAGCCTCCTACATTTGCAGAGGTGCAGGCAGCTGTTCTTTCTCTCTCTGCTTTTAACTTCCCTGCTTCCAATGAGAGGTTGCAGGAATTGATGCCTTCCATATGTCTAGACCTACCTGTCCAGTAGTCAACGGCAACAAATTTTTCTTCATCCAAGTTTAAGAAACACCTTGAAGTCTCAAGACAGTTAATGGGAAGCTGACACAAAGCCTGAGAGAAACTGCAATAGGTAGATGGAATAATTGGGGACATTTCTCCAGCGAATCTCACCTGAACCTCACCACAGAGGGCCAGCAATCTGAGAGCAAAGCCCTGTGTTTGATATTCCTGACTTGGTTTTTCTGAAAAAAACCACGAGTCTAGCTGAAGGCTTTCTTTCTCCTTATTTGTAACAGCGCAGCTTTAAATGTTTCATATTGCCAGGATTTAGTGAGGGTGATTTACCAGCGCTCCCTAGCATATCTTATCTCAACACACGCATCACATCAACGTTCCAGCATTGCGATTATTTTTCCTCGTATGGCTCAGAAAACAGTATAGAAGACATTGAGAACAATTCACTAAGGATCTAAGACTGACAAGAAACATAAATGTTTAAAGTGACTGATATGTAAGTGAAGACAGAGATTTACATGGGAATCTCAATATTGACTAGGTAAGTCTTCTTTTCTATCTAGAATTTTTTAAAAAATGACAAGAATGCATGACCCAAACAAAATTTGTGTCTTGTTTTCACGAGTCTATGTCGTTTTCAAACAATACCCTGGCATGGAGTAGGTGCTGGCAATATTTGCTGAATGAGTAAAAGCATGACACTCTCATTCAAAAATGCAGCCAATTACTACAATCCTTTATTCAGAATGTGGTGGAAGACGCAGATCAGTTACCTCCACTAGAAATCCACTTTCTTCTTTCTCCCAGCCTGTCACCATCTGCTCCATTCCCACCACCCACTAGCAAGATTTTTCAGAAAATCTTCTTCAGAAAATGTTTATTTTATAATACACTGGAGCATGGTTTTGATTTTAGAGTCCTTTAATACAGAGAGAAGGTGTGTTGGCATAAGAGGGCAAGTAAGAGCCACCAGGTACAGTACCTACAATTGATAGGGCTAGAACCTCTTTGGGAATGGCCGTTTGCCCCTTACAAGTCAAGAGGCAGGAAGAGGCAATAATTTTCAACCGGGTTCATTCATCTAGAGCCACATTGAACTGACAGCACTATACAGGGTTCTGTGCTAGCTTTTTTCATTGAAGATGGCTTTCAAAATTTCCTAATTTTAGTTAGTACGTTTTACTTATAAATTGCTCTTAGAGATTGTGTTCTTTGTATACACTGAGAAATAAGTCAGCTCTTCCTTCACTGTGGTTGATTCAAGTTCGCTCTCTAGCGGGGATCTGATGTCTCAGAGAATTGTGGGTAATCACCTTGAATTATTAAGCTACCCCTTCTGCCCACATTTTTTAAAAAGTAGATGTTAGGGGCCGGCTCCGTGGCCGAGTGGTTAAGTTCGCGCGCTCTGCAGCGGCGGCCCAGGGTTCGGATCCTGGGCGCGGACATGGCACCGCTTGTCAGGCCACATTGAGGCAGCGTCCCACATCCCACAACTGGAAGGACCTGCAACTAAGATATACAACTATGTCCGGGGGTTGGGGGGAGGGTTGGGGAGATAAAAGCAGAAAGAAAAAAAAAAAGTAGATGTTACCCGTTGTAAAGTACTATTAACTCTGAAGTGAAAGCACAACTGCGTAATCAGATATTTACACGTTTAAATCATTCATCTTCACACTGCCTTTTTCTCTTAGTTACAGGAGTTTGGGAACACTAATGTGATTATTTTTGTTTGTATTGTTCTTTTTTTCACGATTAAAACTAGAGTCCAAACACCGAGGAGCATCCTGGGTATGAAGGAAATTCAGAAAAGAAAATTGTATACTAAACATTAAGGCAAATTCCCCTAAGAATTGCAGTAGCCTTCTTAGAAATAATGAATTACTAATATGTTTGGTACTCTCCATTTCCCTTTGCTGAAGAAGTTTTCATGACAAATATTTCTCTCTCCATGTCCCTTGAGACCTCAAGACATATCTAGTACTTTGGCAGTGATAATCAAGGGATATTAGAACGCATGATTTAATTAGTTTGCTATTTTAAAAGATTGGGGCACAGAGCAACGATACCCAAACATTTTGACACCATCTCGCTGTAGTAACACATTAAAATCAACTTTTTATTTTGACCCTATGGCATTATCAAACATGATCATTCAAAATGAGCTTCCTTTTTATGATTTTATTTTTTCAGTATGAGATTAGAAATATAAAATGTATATTCAGCTGGTAATTTTAATTCCTTAATTCAAAGATTCAAGAAGCACAGTTAACTAATTTGCAAGTATTATTTTACCATTCACGGAACTCCTGTTTTCTTGAGTCAGAAATAAAATGACCTCAGTGACTGGACAAAGAATGGAATTTTAAAAAAAAGAAAAGGAAAAAAAAAGGTAGCAAGAAGGTATTCTAGTAGCCAATGACTTTAGAATATTCTGCCAATACGCTTGTTGAGATTTAATGGCTAGTGTTGGTGTCTGCATCAACGCTCCGTAGTAATAATAGTAACAGCAGCCAACCCACAGGGAATGGAAGAAAAAACCTGGTTTATCTGGCTCATTACCAAAACAATACCATTTTTTGGTAATAATAAATGATTTGTCTACCTGGGGTCCTGACAGAATTAAGAACAGGATCAATTCTCTACTCCGGAGCCCACCAAGAAGTTCATGGCTTTGAACCTGCTGAGGTGTTTTTCTTTCTCTTCACACAGAGATTTGATTTAGCTTTACTCCTAAGGACACGGATAAACACCCTAATCTAGAAGTTCCCAATCTTTATCAGTTCATGACACTCTTTGCATCTCAGTAATTTTTTAGAGCAGCCCATTGGCCAAAAGAAATAACTAATAGTTCCAATTAAGTCGTTAGGTCCAAACTATTTAATAAGGGTTTGTCACAACGATTTAGCAGCTGTTGAGCCCTGCACAACTTCTCACTTTGGAACTAGATTGGACACTGCCTCCCGCATTGCCTGATCCACACTGATTTTTGTGCAGTGCTTGCTTTTTATCACAGCAATTGTTGAAAACCCAGTTTGGCAAAGATAGGATATCACAGAAAGAAAAGCAATGATCTAAAGTTGAAACTGGGAACAATTTCAAGCTATTAGTTCCCAGGTGACTGACAAATGTTTCTGTGTTTCCCTTGAAAATTTAAAACACCCCTGGCACCCATGTGAGTTCCCTGTGCATCCTCCCAGGGGACCTCAGCATGTTTTGGGAATCTTGGTGCTAGTCTTGTTTCTCTTACACCATAGAGTGAGGGCTGAGGACACCCCCCCGGTTGGGAAAACTCAGGAACTTGGGAAGGAATTATTCGGCTATGGTACTTTTCTCTGTCTAGATAATGTTAGAGGACTTTCAAACGGCAAATCAAAGCTGGAGAGGAGAGAGATAATCACTAGTGTAATAAAATCTAAAATCTAGCAAAGTGGGGCTACAAACTTTTTACGTAGATCCAGTGAGGACTAGAACCTTTGTAATGCAACATATCTTTTTATTTTTATTTTTAGAGATACCCTAGTAAGAGCAAGTAACAATAATGTAACATGTAATAGAAGAGATGAATAGACATAAGCAATCATTCTTTTTTCAAACTCAGGTCAAGAGGCAACACTATCCTTCTACTAAATGGTCACAAGAAGTAGTGAGGAATGGCTATGACTGAAAACTCACATCAGAGGCTCAAGAGGTGGTGAGGGACTTGCTAACTGCTAAAGAAACGGGAGCAATTTGAGATAGGGACTGGTGGCCATTGTCTACTAGCTGAGAGAATGCCCACATGGGGCACTCCAAAGGCCTGATCAATGAGGTCCTATACTTCTGTATGGTGATGGGGACAAATTAGCCAGACTGCCTCGGGTGCTCCAGTTTTTTATGGTATATTGAGTCCACTCATCTCCTCTTCATTGCCCCTTCTGTATCTTCCCCCCATATTCTGTATGTATAAGTATATAAATATGAGTAAAGAGCTACTCAGATCATCTTTGGATTCTGTATGTTAGAGTTTATTCAGCAGAAGATGGGGGCTAGAGGACCCATTATCCAGTGAATTGAAATTTTTTTTAACTGAAGTGCTTTGACAGGCAGCTTGTATTCAATAAACTCATAGTTTTATGACTAAATTCTATTTGTGTTGTCACTGTTAATTTCCCAATGTCTCACATCCGTGCATTTGCAAATACGAACAACATTACATTATTGGATGAAGGGCAACAACAGAAGTTACTGCTATTCAGAAGTCAAAATAACTTTAAAAGCATTTTGAAAAACTTTAAAAGGGACAAAGCTGCATACCTTCTATGTAATTATCCATTTATTCTGTAACTTTCTTCCTGTTTCTTCATGACAGCACTTGGGCAACCTTCTGTTATCTAGTTGTTTCCATTGTTACAAGACACTTTTACTACTAATGGTAGTTCAAATTTACTTTTCTTGTATTTATTTCTTTACTGTACTCATGCTAATACCTAAAATTTTCCTCTTTCTTATTATTCCAAAGAATTAAGTTGCTGCTGGGGACACATTTAACAAATCGTGTGATAGTCTTCTGGCAGAAGCTGCCAGGAACTTCTCTTTGGCCTTATAAGCTAATTTTCAGATGTTGAGTTTAGCCTAGTCTTATGGACATGTATATATTTTCCAAGAATTGGTTGCATATTTTCGTTATTACTTCTCTGACCAGTTTGAGCTTTTATCTTATTTTATAATTAAAATATAACCAAAAACCAAATTTTCATAGTGCCAAGTGATTAATTTAGTCAGATGAATTTGGTCAACAGGTACTTCTGTTTCTTAGCAGTTTTTGCTATAATAGCCACAGCCCTTTATTTATAATGGCATTATCAAAATAATGTTCTCCCTGAAATGATCAAAATATTTGAAGTTTTTAACAAATGATTTTTCAAAAAGGTTAAGCTGTCTAGAAGTTGGATCTCTCAGGTGTAAAATAGCATAATGTCCCTATCCATAGGACTGTGAAAAGTATCAAATGATACAGCAGATGTGAAAATACTTGGAAAAGTGAAGGGTGACATCCACACGCGGTATATGCTATGGCTATTATTACTACCGTTATCAGTCTCAGCTATTTAAATAGTATCTATTTATAGAAGATAAGATGTTGATGTCCTATCTATTAGGAAGTAATTATTTTCCTTCCGACTTTCTCAATAAATTACACAATTCTATTTTAATTTAAAAAGCATTTAAAAGTTTTCCAAAACATTTCATACAAATAGACAATCACAAACTTTCATTGGTACAGTTTGTATTTGCAATTTTTAAAGAATTTTCTCAATAGGAAAGCTTAATTAGAACAATAAATATAAAACCCTCAAAAGTGATTACAATATATAATGTCATTCTTTATAAAGTACAGTTGAATTATAGACACTGAACAATCTTCCTAGCATTATCAAGAACTAGGTAAGATAAGAAAATGGAGGTTTACATATGGCCACTGTGAAGTCAAATGAGGAGAAACCATAACCCTTAAATCTAGAAGATCCGTGTAGTATCAGATTGAAGACTGAAACAGTAATTACTTATTCTGTTTGCCTTGCTTCTCAGAGAAACTTCATCTCCCTAGTAGCAAGAACGCTTTCCAGGAGTCAGTTAATGTCCAAGGAGAACCCTATTGCTCCAACGTAAATATCCAGAGGAAATGGGAAAGCTGAACATCTCAAGACATTATTTTTCCACAACATGTAGAGTGGCATCAAGGTCTGATTTAATTTGTCAGTCTTATGTGAGTCCAATCAGATAAAGAAACTCTTGAAGAGGTATGGGGGAAAATGAGGTCATCCTGGTAAGTTTGCTTTGGAGAGAAACGTTCTATTTAAACTTGAACTGTTAGAGGATTTTCATAAAATGCATGTGTATATTTCATCTTTACTAACTTGAGTAGAGGGTATAAAAGAAACAATCTACACACTGGTCTCTGAAAACCAATTTAGTATAATTTGAGAAGAGAATACATAACTATGAAAATAGAGTACACTCACTGTGAGTTTGTCTCTGGCCTCTCTGAAGCAAAGTTGTTTCACCTTTGATGAACTTGGAGAAGAAGACTTTCAACCTGGGTCACTCATCAATTCAACATTATTTATTATTATCTTTCAGGCTTTTCAGCATTTTTCTACTCACTCCTATTCTGTTCTTTTTTCCACGCTGCAGAGTGGCTCTCGAAGCCTTTCCTCTGCTCTCAAGTTGCCCCATCCCTCCCTCCTTTAGTTGTTGATGGCTATACGTTCTACTTGAATGAAAAAGTAGAGATCATTAGCCACAAATTCTCTAAATATTTTACCCCTCCATCTCTAAATTTAAATTTCCTCTTTTCACTTGTTTTATTCCTTCTTGTTCTAAAGAATACAATAATTGTCTCCAACAGTTTTCCAAGGTTAGTCCCTTTAATTGAGCTCATGATTAGATTTCTGTCAGCAGCTATAACTCCGTATTTAATGCCCCCTTCCTTCAGCTCAAGTGTCTTGAATTCAAAGAAATTCCCTCTGAGCCTAATTCTCCCTCAAGCAGCTTTAGTTCTCTTCTCTCCTAAACTTATCAACCTTTTAAAGAGATGCCTGTACTGGCTGATATCTCCACTTTCAATTCACTCCTCAGCCCACTGTGCTTCTAATTCTATGACCTCGCTAAGAAGCTTCACTCAGGTGTCACCCAAAACCTAGTAATTACGGAAGGTAATAGGTTCTTCTATTTTCTCTTCATCCTCTAGACTGTTGTTTCTGCTCTCTGTCCTTGTCCTTTAACTGTTGTCTTGTTTCCCCTCCAATCTCATCATGTAAAAGTCAAATTCATTACCTATTATCTGCCATTATGTTGTTCACTCCGTCCCTGTGTTCCTTATGTCAACATCACCATTCATTTACTTGTTTATGGTCAAAACTTCAGCCTTCTCTTTGACTCTCCTTCCCCACTGGCTGTCCCCCAACACACACACACACACAAACACCATTCTGTAAGCCTCTCGCCTCTTGCATCTGGGCCAATCTCTTCATCCCACCACCACTCCCTGACCTGGGCCTCTATCACATTTAGCCTGCTTGGTTTCTATGAATTTCTATATGATCTATTCCCCTGTAGTCACTTCACTCTACACAATTATTCAACAATAGAGTAACCAGAATGCAATAAAAACAAGAATTTGATGATGCCAAATCCCAGCTGAATCCTCTTTCTCTCCTGCCATATTTCCCTACTCACACCAAGCAGACCATCATTGCACAACTGAGCCATGATTTTCCATGCCTCACATTATGCAAATGTTGCCCCCTTAGCCTGGCTTTCCCTGGCTGGCAAACTCTCCCTCTCCTCTCTCTGCTCCCACAGTTTTGTAAATGCCTCAAGAATGGTGCTCACTGTATTTTATTGTAATTGCCTAAAATACCAGACCTTTCGCCATCTCCAAATTTGGAGCTTTGAATACACCATAGTTGCTCAATAAGTGTTTGCATTATGTATGAATAAATAAAATGAACGTCTTGATTTTCAAACCTGAGAAAATGGGATAAAAATAATATAGAAATAGGGCGATTGGGAGAAGAAAGTTGTATTGGGTGAAGAAGAGTGGACACCATTAATACAATGTATTAATAATGAATATGTACTAATTAACAAGTGTGAGGTAACAGTTGAACAAGAAAGTATAAATTTCCAGAAGGCAATTAAGTGCTCTAGATCTAGAGCTCACATATTAATGATGACTACGTACTAATTAATGATTGTGAGGTACAGTTGAATAAGAAAGTGCAAATTTCCAGAAAGCATTTAAGTGCTACAGATCTGGAGCTCTGAGGTTGCAAGGCCAGAGGCAATACGCAGTAACTCATCTGATGAAAGGCAATACTTGAACCTTTGCACACAAGAGTTTTCCAGAGTCCAGAGGGCCAGGGGCTATGCTTTGGGGAAATACGTTAAGGGGTGGTAAGAGGAGTTAGTGAAGGAAAGGTCTGTGAGGAGGAGAGGACAGAGAATACAGCAATGATGAAAGTCAGGAGATGACGTGTACCTTGTATCTCCTCTAATAACTGGTAGCATGCCCTCTGCTTTATGGGCGACTGATAAATATTTCTTGAATTAAATGGATTTTCAGAGGTCCATGTGAATGGAAGATAGAATTCATAATATTAAGGCAACACAACATGGTAAAAAAAAATGCAAAGAACAGATGTAGATATTTAGGGTGAGGGTAAGAGGATGGGAGAAATAAAACTTGTCGACGTTTCATTGCCAAAAAAGCAGAGGAAAAAAGGGTAGATTAAATATTTTTTGAAAGATGGCATAGACCTATGCTATGCATAATTAAAGGTAGGTGGTGAGATGCTTTTACCTGTAGCCCACAGGACACAAATTAGGGCTTACATGTGGTCTTTCCCACTAATTATCTGTTTGAGACCTGTCATTCCACAAGATTATTAGTTATTTGAGACCAAGAACCCTGTCTTATAGTTTTCTTGTGTCTCTGGCAGTGCTTCAAACAGGACGGCTACACAATAGAATTTAATAACTCAGTATTCGAATCAAAATCACCACAGTTCAGTGGCTCATTCCCAGGGAGAATGGAGTATAAATAGTTCTATCATTTTACAACTGTTAATAAAATGACAACCAAGAACTGTGGGTTGTGAAAATGAGCAAAGCACAATTTCATTTCTAGAATGCCATTTAGACTTATTAGGATACCTTGACGATCTGTTAGGATACCAAGAATAACCCCAGACCCCCAAGGGCTCCATATAGCCTAATTCCTATGAGATGAATTGCAACCTGTCATGAGTTTTTGAGACGGCATCATGAGAAGATGGTGAGTGTTACTGGACAAATGCCTAAATGCAGAGGAGCAAAGTAGAAATCAACTCTATACAGACGCAGAGTTACCCCAAGCGACAGGGCATGTACTGAGTGAGAGTAAGGTCCTATTTAGAAGCCTTCAGAACTTAGAAACCTAATGAACCCTGCAGTAAACAGAAGAATGGAATGTGCTGAGAAAATGAGCTAATGATGGTGTATGATCTGCAAACCTACTTATCAGTTTTAATTATTTTCCCAGCTGTGCCATGTCTTAAACGATATTCAAGTCTGTCTAATGTTTTCCGTGCTTGCCTCCAGTAATTTCTATTCCAAAAATGGTTTAATTTAGGCAAAACCCCACAAGATCTCTCAAATGATCTGGCACACCAGTGCTAACATCTGTACGGTACATCAATTGAGGTATATTCAAAATGCTATACACTCTAATATCACAGGGATTTTCAAACTGAGTTTAAAGATTTTCAAAATATTATAAATCTTCATGTGGCTGGGTTGCTAAAACTCAGGTCCTACAGGAATATAAGCTAATGTTTCAAGTGTGAATGTTTCTATTTAAAAACCTAATTCTCACTTTTCCTAGACAGTGTATTCTCTGAGAAAATAAATGTTTCTTATCAATAGTGACAGTGTACTCAAGTTAAACCTACCATTTAATCTTCAGTTTGTATAATTTTACTCACCATTTTCCTAAATTAGAGAACAACGCAGTCAAATAAATATACTGGTTTTATTACATCATCAACCCCACAGATAAATTTATTTGATTTTCTAGCGGCTCCCTCTTCCCTTTGTGTACTCTTATACTTACATATCACTGGCAATGGAGGAGTTCCGAGACATAGACTTTGGAGAGAGGTCATAATCGCTGTCGGATCGATACAGGAAGGACTCCCGACGTTGACTGTGGACAAAGTTTGCTTGGAGAATTAGCCCGGATCCTGGGCTGGTCATGGGATCCAAGGGACTCCGTCCCGAAGATGTGCCATTGTCCACATCAAAACTGTAATGGAGGAGAAGAAATGACACTGCTGTCAACATTTCATGTTGCTATTTTAATAAAGGGAGATTTCAGTTTAGGAATTGAAAGTGGGAAAATTTACAGCTGATTCCTGCTGTTAAAAACCGATACTACTGAAATACACAAAAGTAAAAGACACATTGACTTCATATTCTTGTCTTCCTAAGTTTTTGTGTACTTTTGTTAATGACCAGACAAGATATAGGTCTCTCTAAACTCAACTTCAGTTAAAAATAAACCATTCTTCAAAGAATAGTTCTCCTAAGTACAGGATTCTTTTTAGGAAAAGAACAAAAATGAACACTAATTCACGAAATATTTGGGTTCAATTCAACAAGCGCCCTTTATATGCCTAATATCATCACTTCCCTAAACCTGAGCTTCTCTCCCTCCCGCCTACACCTATCTAATCATTGATTTCTGTTGTATCCACATACCTCCATCTCCACTGCCAATTATGCTAAGTTTAGGATTCCATCAATTCTCACCTACATTATTATAACAGTCTTTAAATTAGTCTCTTGAATCCATTTTCCACCCTGTACCAAGAGGGATTCTTCTTAAGATGTAAATCCGACTCCATCATTCGTCAGTTTAAAACCTTTCAGTAGCTCATTATTGGCCTCAGGATAAAGCCCAAATTTCTTGGCTAGACTGATAAAGTCTTAACAATCCATTCTCAGTTACAATGAATCATTTTCCCAACCTCAAAATGCAACCCTGTTTCATCAGGCACTTCATGCTCTACTCATATTGAACTACCATCTCCTTATCTCAGGCTATCACTACTTAACCTTCTGCTCCCCTAATTACTCAATTCTCCTATTCCCTGCCTAATTGTTATTCATCCATGAGGATTTAGCCCTCATCTGAAAGGCTGCCCTAATCCCCCAGAGTTTAAGAGATGCCCTTTCTCTGTGCTCAGGACACTTTCCCACTCCCTATGGACAGCATTTACAATGAATTAAAAATGTTTGCTACTTGGCCTCCATTCCTAGACTGTGAGCTCTCTGAGAATGGAGACTGAGTGTTCTGAGCACTTCACATGGCACTTCACAAACCTTTACTAAGTGGTTTAAATGAATGATTGAATGAATGAAAGGCATTGTGCTCAGCAATATAGATGTTAGAGTTGGGGAAAAAAGAACACATTTGCACAATTCTTAACATCACAGTTCTTATATTCTAGATAAACTTTCCACAAAGAGTTTTTCTAGTCAAACATGAACCAATATCACAATAAAGTCAACTTTCTTGTGTTCTTACAAGAGGATGGTGATAGCTCAGGATAGCCCAGTAAGTATGTGGTTTAAAGCATTATTGAATGAATAAATAAACAAATGAATTCAAGCTTACTTGTCAACGTTTTCTCCATAAGAGCCTTTATCGAAACTATTAAGTAGCTAATTTTAAAACATCCTTTTACTTTATCTATTGGAGTTATTAATAAATAGTGTTATAACCCAAAGATAGGAGGCCAAATTGGAAGGATCAGCTTAGGGCTTGATGTTTCAAGAGTCAGCTATGATGAATCTATGACCAAATAAAAAAATGATTCCAAATTAATCCATCTAGTAAAAAAAAAAAGGAAAAACTCGTAATCTAGCTTGGCCAGTCATAAACATGTATTCCAATTTAAAGTTTTCTTAGAATTGTGTCACTTTACAGATATATTTATTTGGTCCTTAAAGGACAATGAGAGATTATCTAGCTGAATAGACTCATTACAGACAAGTATACCAGTTCCTAGAAAAGTTAATTAACCATAGTTACTGAGCTAACTTGGATTTAATCATCTACTGTTCCTGAAGTTGTTCCAGCTCCAATGCATAATTATGTCAACTGCAAATGTATGTTAGCAACTATGACACCCAAACAGGGGACATCTGTTTCACCTGGACAGGCACTTCATGCGTGTGAGACTTTTGGCAATCCTGAGGAAGGCATCTCTAATCATTAAAGAGACTTATTCGGGATCTCTGGCAAGCTCTTCTTGGATATGCTTAATTAAATAAGCATTTATCAGGTACCTACTATGAACACACTGAGCTTCAAAAATAAAGGAGATGAGATTAATCCAGGCAATGATATCTGAGAAGTCTTCACAGGGGAGTAGTATTTGAAGAGGGCTTTTGAAGGAATTCGGCATGCAGCTGAAAGACATTAAAGACTTCCGCTAGGGAGAAGATAGGGGAGACTTCGGCTCTAAGAAAACAGTCATAACAGCTCTTCAGCATGAGGAGGACCTAACTTGAACACATTAAAAAAATGTATGTTGAGGGGCCGGCCTGGTGGCACATCGGTTAAGTTCGCACGTTCCACTTCTCGGTGGCCCACGGTTCGCTGGTTTGAATCCCGGGTGTGGACATGGCACCACTTGGCAAGCCATGCTGTGGTAGGCGTCCCACATATAAAGTAGAGAAAGATGGGCACAGATGTTAGCTCAGGGCCAGCCTTCCTCAGCACAAAAAAAAAAGAGGAGGACTGGGAGTAGTTAGCTCAGGGCTAATCTTCCTCAAAAGAAAAGAAAAGAAAAGAAAAAAATGTATGTTGATTTCTCTCCAATATCAAGATGTCTTTACTATTACAAAAAAATAAAATATAACTGGGGCCAGCCCCGTGGCCGAGTAGGTAAGTTTGTGCTCTCTGCTTTGGTGGGCCAGGGTTTCGCTGGTTTGGATCCTGGTCATGGACCTAGCCCCACTCATCAAGCCATGCTGAGGCGGTGTCCCACATAGCATAGCCAGAAGGACCTACAACTAGAATATACTGGGGGGCTTTGAGGAGAAGAAGAAAAGAAAAATGATTGGCAATAGAAATTAGCTCAGGGCCAATCTTTAAATAAATAAATAAATAAAAATAAAATATCACTATCTTTTCCTTGTTATGCATAAACAGAAATATAGGAGATATAGGAGTATGCTGTGGGGTTTAGTTTTTCTCAGTTCAATTGAGTAAATGCCAATATAACCCCCAAAACCCGTAATTTGTATTTTTTTGTTATTATAATTTTTCCTAATTAAAAAGCAAGTCTTAACGTAGAGAAATTTTCCACTGTAAGTTTTGGATCAAATATTGCTAAGTATCTTAAAATATTTAACTTTTTTCCAATAATATTACCTATTAAAACCAAAAATTTATTAATAGCTCAGAAAAAGCTTGATATGGGATATTCTATGGGCTTTGTCTTTCTTTGTAGGTTGTAATGTAACAACTTGTCCACTAGATGGAGATCATTTTCTTAAGGAAAATCTATTGTAAATAAACTCAAAGGCCCAAACTATTTCTTAAAAGACTCATGAAAACATCCTCTTAAATATTACCCAACAAATAAAACCTCACAATCTATAGGGAATGATTATCAAATATTGATAAAATGCTATTAATCTGAGAAACATTAGTATTAGCTTTACGGAGAATGGTCACTGATGTCTTAGTAGATATTTACCCTTACTTAAAAAAAAAAAAACAAAAATCTCTTTTGTTCAAATATTAGAACTAAGGAGCTTCCCTTTGGAGAGGGTTGGTTTGGGACAAATCACAAGCAGCATGTCGTCGCTCAGTGGGTAGTAAACTAACTGAGAGTGAATTTAGGCTGAAAATACAGACAACTTCAAACAAGCTACTTATTCCTGAAACATAACTTTATAAATAGTCCATGTCATGGTATTATTCATAAAAAAAGAAGGTGATGAGGGGCAACCCTAACCTTAGATGATGGTACCAAAGATATGGGTTGTGAAATTTGAACACGTTCTTCGGCAAACCCTTTGATCTCATGAACACACTTTGGATTCACTGGCGATTAGACGGAGCCGAAGTATAAGATCAGCAGAAGCCTGGGAAAGTAACTACGGAATAGGGGAGAGTAATAATGTCTGATATAATGAAGATGGTGATAACAATAACGATATGATAAAACTTTTGGAGCACCATCTATGAGAGACATCAGGCCCTGGGCTTTATGTACCTTATCTCACTGACTCCCCACAATACCTTCTGAAGTAGGCACTAAAAGTCCCCCTTGACCAATGGGGAATCTGAGGCATAGAGGAGTGACTCTATGTTAAGTAATGTGTTCAAGGGCATACAGTTCATAAGTGGGTTTTAAGCTCAAGCTGTCTGATTCTAGAGCCCGGGAGAATGGCCCCTGTGTTTATGTCTCTATTGCAAAGCCTCCTGTTAACCATTACAAAAGTACAAGAACATCTCTTAGCTTCCTCACCTGGATGGAACTTCAAATGTTAACTCTTTTGAAAGTAACATTCTGGTTGACTTATAGATCAGGCGTTCAGAGGCTAATTCTGGGACTAGGTCTTTATATGACCCCAAATTTTGGAATTTGCCAAATCCCCCAATTTTCCAGTTTTGGATACAAGGTAATGTGTTAAAGGATCTTTGCTATAACCCATCTGATGGGTTTCTTTACAGAGTTTGAGAGTTCATTTGGAATAAGGAGGGTATGTGGGTCTATGAAAGGTCTTAGCAAATGGAACTAAGTGAGATGCTCTATTATTCCACACCTTTGCTGTTCTTAATGCAGTTCGGTCATGTGCACATTTCCTAAGACAGCTGGCTTTCCAGGAAGGCACCTGCGGAGAAGCAATGATGCAGCTGTGGATGGCCCCCTCTGAGGGAGTGGTGAGAGTAATCACCAGCTGGCCTGTTCAATCAGAACTCTTGAAGGCTATGTGGATCTAACACTACTCAGGACCATTCACTCCACAGGCCTTTCCCTTTCTATAGAATGCACCCCCAACAAAAACCAAACAGAAGACAGACAAACTGACCACCGAACAAAACTGCTCCCCAGCTCTCCACATTGTTCCATGTCAGTGACATTACTGGATGACTTGTCCTAATCCACCTTCCCTCCAGCTTCCTCCACTGCTCCCACACTTTGTGTCTACTGACTTTGTAATTATTTTTCTGCTTAGGATCATCTCTTACCCTTTTGGCCTGATGCTTAGACTCTGCTTCTC